TCCCCACCAGGCTTTTTTTTTAGTGAGGATGTTGGGCACACACCTGACAGGATAACGTTGTGATAATAACAAGAAATATAGGTGCAATATATCGATAAATAAAGACATTTTTATTTATTTTGAAACTGATTACTTGATAAAATATTTTTCTTTTTACAATGATGTTTACCCTGTAGTCACTCAAGGTAGAGGTTACGGAGTAAGGGCAACGGTTCATGTGGATATATGCAGAACATAACAGTTAACTCTAGACTTGAATAGGTTAAGGTTGTAGTGAGTGGGGAAGCATCCACTTGGGAGTTGGTTCCATAAAGCACCAGTTCACAGAAAAAAGTTGCTCGAGTGAATCATCTCACCGTGGAATATGAAAGGAATGAAAATGGTTTGCTACAATGCACATGGCATGGCGGGTCTCTGCTGTGAAAAGTAAAGAATTGGTGGAACTAAGGAATGTACTTCATCCGAACACTCTCCATGGAAATAGCGATATAGTAGTGAGAGGTTTGCAATGTTTCGTCTGTTAGAAAGAGATTGCATGGTGGATGAGAAAAAGAAAACATTATTATGAAGCAAGAACAACAAAGGAACAGGAATTAAGAAGACAGAATATAACGATTGACATTGCATTTAAATTTTTTGTTGTTTCTCTCCAAGCAAGGCAATAAAGCCACTAAGACGTAAGGTTTTTTTTTTATTTACAATCATGTTTATCCTGTAGCCATTCAATGTAGAAGTTACGGAGTAAGAGCAACGGTTTATGTGGATATATGCAGAACATAACAGTTAACTCTAGACTTGAACAGGTTAAGATTGTAGAGATCGGGGAAGCATCCACTTGGGAGTTGGTTCCATAAAGCATCAGTTCGCAGGAAGAAGTTGCTTGAATGAAACCTCTCATCAATGGTTATATGAAAGGAATGAAATTGGTTCGCTACAGTGCGCATGACATGGCGGGTCTTACCTGTGGAGATAAAGAACTGGTTGAACTAAGGAATGTAGTTCATCCGAACATTCTCCATGGAAATAGCGATAGAGTAGTGATTGGTTTGCAATGTTTCGTCTGTTAGAAAGAGATTGCAGGGGGGATGAGAAAAAGAAAACATTAGGAATTAAGAAGACAGAAGATAACTGTTATCCTCATCTTTATTATCAAATTCACCAAAATTAAATTATTAAGTCATAAAAGATATTCGAAATAATAAAATATAAAATATATAAAAGCACTTGAAAAACCAGATTTTCCTGTTTCTACCACCCCGTGTCAGAATGAACCTGAGAATAACAGCAATTAAGAAGTTTTTCCACTCTCATTCAAACCCCTAATCTCTCGGATGTAGTTTATGGGCATACCCAAAACGCAAGGGGCTACCGAGTATTAGAAGACATGAGAAACAAACATTATTAAGGAAAGAAGACAATAAAAGAACAGAAATTAAAAAGACTTAAGATAATGATCGACATTGCATTTTCTCTCCAAGTAAGGCAATAAAGCCACTAAGACGCAAGGGGGGGGGGTTACTGAGAATATGACAAAAGACATTAATAAGGGGAGAGAACCATAAAAGAAAAAGGAATTAAGGAAACAGACGATAACAACTGACATTGCATCTAAATTTTTGAAAGTCAAAGTTGACTAGAAAGCAAGCAGCCGAAAGAGAGTTCCACAGGTAATGGCATGAGAAGAAACTGGATTGCAAGGTGGAAAATAATATGTCACACCCCACAAGGACGGGAATTTTAGAACTATGCATCATACTTATTATAAAACCCAGGTTGTGTGTGTGTGTCTGTACGTTTTTTTATTGGATCGGATTTCCTACATTTTTCAACCGATTTCAACAAAACTTCACAGGACTACGTAAAATTACCTTGCGGTGGTTCTGACAGTGCTGAAAATTGGAAAAACAGAATTGTTTTTACACAAAATCAATTTGAAAACACGATTAAGAGGCATCACGAGAATGAAAGGGGGAGAACTCATATCGAGTTACACTTATTATAAAACCCAGATTGTTTGTGTGTGTGTGTGTTCATTTATATATGGGATCAGATTTCCTACATTTATCAACCAATTTCAGCAAAACTTCACTTTTCTTTTTGGCAGGTAGTGTTTCTTATTGTATTGCACACTTTTTTCTTTATTTTTACATTCAGAATGCTTTTAAAATTCCATTTACAAGACAATTGGTTATAATAAAATTCTATTCAATCGGTAGAGACTCATAACGATTGAAAACAATGTTTTTGTTTGAGTTTAGGTTTGACCTATTCGTAAAAAAAAAAAAAATAATAATAATTAAGACATGCGTGTCTGTCAACCTTAAACAATAATCTTTGTCAATTTTATTTTTCAGTCTTTATGATTGCCAATACTTGATCTATCTCTTACGGTTACATCCTTAGGCAACGCCGGGCTCTACTGCTAGTCAGCTATAATTTGAATCTATCTAATTTGTTTTTGTTTTAAGACATCTTAATTCATATTGGGTTTTTTTTTCGCAAAAATCACAGCTGAAATTCATAAGGCCAATGACAACATTAAGTGGTGACCCCAACATAAAATAAAGTGAATAAGTATTGTGGTTCAGAGGTGTCTTGACAAATTAGTACTTTCAGGCTTTTTATCTTTGGTGTAAGAAATAAATACTACAAGGAAATCAACAAGAGAAACCTTTTGAAAATCCTGAAACCATCAACATAATGTATCAAGCAAGCAAGCAAACATTATATGCAAAGCAAATTAAGAAGTAAGAAAACAAAATGTTTACAAACTACGAATTAGTTTGTACGCACAAAAGCAAGTTCAGACAAATGAACATAATGGTCTGTCTTACAGACAAGGCAGATATGGACTGAGTCAAGATACACTTAACTGACTGGCCAACAATGCGTGAAATTACTAGTAATACATTATAAAAAAATTACCAACCATATATTTAATGTCTACAAACTATATATCTGCAAAACATACGTTTACCCTGAAAATATAGAATTATATACAAAATATCTGTAGTTAAATGCACTCAAAATAGATATACTTGAAGCCATAGAATTGTGTACAAAATATTTGGAGTTCAGCTTTAAATTATCTATAGAGGTTGATATGCTACAAAAGGAAATAAGTGAAACCATCACACCTACAACAGATTATCTACAAGCTATATATATATAAAACATATGGTTACCCTGAAAATTATACAGGTTATCAATAAAGTCATTATACAGTTAGTATAACGATTAAGACAAAGCAATCAACTGATCACGAATTTATTATTAAAATGGTTCTGGTTAATTCTGGTTAATAAGAATAAAATGCTAAGGTAAACAATAGCAAATTAATTACCGATAATGTTCAAACTACAAGCCACCTGCTTCAATGCTTTGCTTTTTTATTATAAATAAATGTATAGTAACTTTATTGCAATCCTGTATAATTATGTACAAAATATCTGTAGTTAAAGCCATACAATTGCACTTAAAATATATGCAGTTGAAGCCATAAAATTGCACTCAAAATAGATGCAGTTGAAGTCATAAAATTGCACTCAAAATAGATGCAGTTAAAGCCATACAATTGCACTAAAAATAGATGCGTTTGAGCCATATAATTGCACTCAAAATAGATGCAATTGAAGCCATAAAATTGTGCTCAAAATAGATGCAGTTGAAGCCATAAAATTGCACTCAAAATAGATTTAATTGAAGCCATAAAATTGCGCTCAAAATAGATTTTGTTGAAGCCATAAAATTGAGCTCAAAATAGATTTAGCTGAAGCCATAAAATTGAGCTCAAAATAGATTTAGATGAAGCCATACAATTGTGCTCAAAATAGATGTAGATGAAGCCATACAATTGTGCTCAAAATAGATTTAGTTGAAGCCATAATATTGTACTCAATGTAGATGTAGTTGAAGTCATAAAATTGCACTCAAAACAGATTTAGTTGAAACCATAAAATTCCACTAAAAATAGATGCATTTGAAGCCATAAAATTGTATTCAAAATATATTGTAGCCATAAAACTGCACTCAAAATAGATGTATTTGAAGTCGTAAAATTGTGCTCAAAATATTTAGATTTTGGCATTACATGACCCATAGATATTGATATGCAGCTAAAAAACAGCCAAACCAAGTAAAGTCATGTGACTGATGATGATGATGATGATGTATTATTATTATTATTATTATTATTATACTACTTCTATCACCACCACCACCACCACCATCACCATCACCCCATGATTAAAAATAAGGTAGAAATATTTACCCAGCTAAGAAGATCATTTTCCCTCTTTTTAATGCCATGGCCTTTCAGGATGTATGCAATCATGGCTTTTAAAAATTAATGTTTTCTTTATTATTTGTCGATTGCCTAAACTTATTTTGAAATGCCGTGTAGTGGTTGCCCATGGCCTTCTCCACAGTTTTGAATTTAGACGTGTCCTTCTCTCAAGACTGCCTGTCGTTCGTGGCTAGGGAATCTTGTCTACTCTGCAATTTAAATCACAAATCAGAGGAGAAGAAATGAATTCTTTTATTATCTGTGAAGTGCCATGATTTTTTGGTAAAAGTACTGTCCTATATTATAGGACTATTATATGTAATTACATTTCAAATGATTTTACTATAGGAATACATTAGAAATCATGAAAAATGTATTGTCAGTGGTCAGGAATTGATGCAAGCATTACTGAAAGAATCGGGTTATTATATGTAAATGCATTTCAAATTATTTCATTATAGGAATGCATTAGAGATCAGGAAGAAAAGTTACTGTCAATAGTCAGGAATTAATACAAGAATTATTAATAGAAAATAACCATTATATGAAAAGCCATTGCAAAGGATTTTACTATAGGAATGTATTAGAAATCAGGGAAAAGGTATTGTCAATGGTCAGGAATTGATGCAAGTGTTACTGAGAGAATAGAGCTATTAGATGTAAATACATGACAAATGATTTTACTGTTGGAATACAATGAAAAGCAGGAAAGGTTATGGTCATATCGTGCTGAAACACTGGTTTCCATATGATGACTGAAGTAAAGCAATGTTGAGGCTGGTCAGTACCTAGATGGGGGATTGCTTGTGAATACCAGGTGTTGTAAGCTTGGATCTGTGCATAGTGCAATGGATAATGGCTCGAAATTGTTCATTGGTGAGCCGAGTTCCAATGATAAAATAGTTACTAGCTTGGTTTCTGAACTGTTGAATATACTAAGTCACTTCTTCCTCATCGAGCTGTGAGAGCTTGATCAGAAAATAGATCAGCTACCAGGCTCTTGTTATTTTGATTTCTGGGTTTCACCAATAAACTCCCTTATCCTCTGCATACATATATATATATATATATATATATATATATATATATATATAAAAGTAAAAGTCCAATGTGGACTTTTGCAAGGCAAAAATAAAATGAATTTATTAGAAACAAAGTAACTATTAACAGCAAACAAAACGTCCTTAGCAATAATTTAGAAAGCGTTATTATATTCATATTGTCAACTGAAAATGACGTCAAGTATTATCACATGTAGAAATATTGTTTTATTGTTGGGTTTACGGATTCAACAAATTTTCTTTTGATTACTTGATGCCTAGGCGTACATTAATATTTGGATAATATTCAATGGCAGCACTCTTGAGGATTTTCCTTCTGAGTGAGTTATTTTTTTTTATGAGTGTATCATTTTTAAAATCAAAATTGTGGTTGAATTTATTTCTATGTATGACTAGTGTATTAGTTGTTTTTTGTGAGGTCTCTTTTGTGCTTACAGATAAGTTTTTTTGTTTTGTTTTTTTTCCTTGTTTCTCCAATATATTGGGAGGAACAGTTTTGCTAATTTATTTTATAAATGCCTGCTTCAGAAATATTATTGCTGTTAGTGTTTGAGGATCGGATCCATATCCATAATGGTTTAAAAAAACGCATTTAAAAAAATCACTTAAAAAATTCCTGAAAACAATTACGGTAATGAAAAATGAGAATCTCAGATTTCAGGATTGCAGGCTCGGATTCAGCCGGAAATGTTTTTAATTTGCTCACGGAGTCAGCTTGATTCCAAAATGGTATGATATGTTGGGCTGGAGCCTCTAGACAATTTTATTTTGAAACACTGTAATTTGAGAACAGTAATTTTTTTACATTTGTACATGAGCTATTGAAAGTTAGAGAGTTGTGTCCCTTTAATTGTTTTATCAGATGGCGGAATCTGATTCCAAATGGTATGATATGTTGGGCATAGGCGTAAAGTTGAAAAATTGTGACATAGTGACACACTGACACACTGACATTATATAGAAAAAGATGAGTCATTGAAAGTTAGAGAGTTGTGTCCCTTTAATTGAAAAGTGTGACACACTGACATTCACATTTATTATATACATATAAAGGTGGTATGACTGAGAAGAGTCATTTGGGATGTCATTGATCTCGTGCACTTCAGAGGACGGGCTATGAACAACAGTCTTTTCAATATCTGTCTATATTTCTGAGATGAGGTATTATGTACACTATTTACATTATTCGGGCTATTGTCCTCATCTTTGTCGCCATATTTATTACAATGTTTCGGCCTTTCAGTATCTGTCTATATTTCTGAGATGAAGTATTATGTACACTATTTACATTATTCGGACTATTGTCCTCATCTTGGTCGCCATATTTATAACGTTTCAGTCGTTGTTCACTTTGGCCTTCTTCAGGTGGTTGGAATGTCGAACTGTGGAAAGAAGTAGAAAGGGGAGACTGGCCACCCCCTTAAGGTAAGGCTTCAAGAATACCAGAAAGCTGTAACACGAAGGGAAGTGGAAAAATCAGTGGAAAAATGGCTGACCACATATGGAGAGAAAAGGGAGATGACCGCCCCCTGTGGGATCAGGTTGAGACCATAGACAAAGAACACCATTGGAAAATTCGTAAACTTATGGAATCGGCACAATACAATATGGGAACCAGTAACAAGGAGTGCCTGAGAAAAGCGATAATAACAGCAAAAATTGCAATATGAGCTCTGGTAAAAATCGGTTGCCATTAGGTTTATAATACCCAGAAATTCATACACAGATGTCATCAAGGACACATGGCACAGAGGCAAAAGGTGTTGGTGACAGGACCCAAAGAGTATGAGTTCAATACCCGGTTAAGGCAGTGGAATTAACAGGAGATAACTGATAACTGACATCCATTGAACATGGCATGTGGAACTAGAACAGTCTAACCCAGTAAGCAAAATAAAGGGTTCAGTTTGATACGTAACGTAAATAAATATGGCAACCAAGATGAGGACAATAGACCGAATAATGTAAATAGTGAACAGTCTTTTCGACCCACCTGATTAGAAGGATTTATTAATTGAAATGACTCTTCCAGATGTGATAAAGGATAAGATGTAAGCATAATTTTGTCGAAGTTTAGTAGGTATTCAATGGTTAAGTTATAAATGCGTTATCAGAAGTTTAAATCCCTGAAGCTCCTTGGAAATAAACTAAGATTGAATTGACTTATATAGCCGAAGTATAACATTCACCACAATGTAAATAAGGCTGATTCCATCATGACCTGTGGGAATTAGTGGGTGGTTTTATTAATATGACATCAGCTTGTATCGAATGACAAAAGATGTCTTCGTTTCTTGCAGTTTAAAACTGAAATGAGAATTTGAAAACGTGAAAGATCTTTGTGGAAACATAGCTGTTGGCACAAGTGTTATCTCATGACTTCTTGATAAAGATAAATATTTGTTTTCGGTTTTTATTTTTCGGAGTGATTCTGATTTCTATGTTGGTAATAGGCATAATTTGTTTTCTGGTAATATCCAGATATTTGTTGATGTAGTTTCATTCATTTTTTTTTTTTAAAGCTTTTTTGTTTTCGATGAACAGGCTAAATTCAATAAAAGCTCAAGTCAGTTTGAGGCAAATTGAGAAAAGATGGCGGATGTGCATCAGTGCTGGTGGGTGGGTGCTTTTAATTTAACGTATTTTATCATGTGTTTCTAATGTGCTATCTGTTTGATTTTAGTTCTTTTTTCATAGTTTTTAAGTGATGTTTTCAAATAAATGCATTGAGATTGCGGATGAACTGGACCTTAACCAAGTAAAAGGAACTCAATATGTTTTGGGGCTAGCAAATTATATTGCAGACCTTGCCCTTTGGATTCCATCTGCTCAAAATTATTAATATCAATAAAAAAAAATTGTTTAAAAAAAATGTTCATCTGATTTTGTTTTTTTTTTTGTTCTGCTCAATACAATATTACATTTATGAAATTAAATTACAGAAGAATCTCCAAAAATCAGGATGTTTGGAGCCTTGAATCTGATCTCTCCTCTGACTTAAACTCTAATAAACTGACATGGCATGGGGACTGACTTGTAACCCTCAGTACCTCACTAAACAAGCTAATATTGTTTCATCAACACTGAATTGACCCTGAGTTTTCTTTACTCATGATCATGGTTTTTCTTCTTATTGGGTTGGTATCTGCAATGAACCGTTGTTTAACAACTCTGACAGAAATCTTCGGTATGAAATGGCAATCACGACATATGCTCAGCATAGCCCATTGACCATTGCCCTTTCTCAAAAGTTGTGCCTGCTTTTCTTAAGCACAAAACCTTAGCAGTTGGCTAGCAAAATGTATCATTTGCATAACCAACACAACTCAGCTCACCAATCATGTTGTATGCTCAGCATAGCCCATTGACCATTGCCCTTTCTCAAAAGTTGTGCCTGCTTTTCTTAAGCACAAAACCTTAGCAGTTGGCTAGCAAAATGTATCATTTGCATAACCAACACAACTCAGCTCACCAATCATGTTGTATGCTTTTGACCATTGCCCTTTCTCAAAAGTTGTGCCTGCTTTTCTTAAGCACAAAACCTTAGCAGTTGGCTAGCAAAATGTATCATTTGCATAATCAACACAACTCAGCTCACCAATCATGTTGTATGCTCAGCATAGCCCATTGACCATTGCCCTTTCTCAAAAGTTGTGCCTGCTTTTCTTAAGCACAAAACCTTAGCAGTTGGCTAGCAAAATGTATCATTTGCATAATCAACACAACTCAGCTTTCATGTTGTATGCTCAAGCATAGCCCATTGACCATTGCCCTTTCTCAAAACCCTGCTTTTCTTAAGCACAAAACCTTAGCAGTTGGCTAGCAAAATGTATCATTTGCATAATCAACACAACTCAGCTCACCAATCATGTTGTATGCTCAGCATAGCCCATTGACCATTGCCCTTTCCAAAAGTTGTGCTTTCTCAAAAACCTTGTTGCCTTGCAAGCATTAGTGCCTGCAGTTGGCTAGCAAAATGTATCATTTGCATAATCAACACAACTCAGCTCACCAATCATGTTGTATGCTCAGCATAGCCCATTGACCATTGCCCTCAAAAGTTGTGCCTGCTTTTCAAAAAACCTTAGTTGGCTAGCAAAATGTATCATTTGCATAACCTCAGCTCACCAATCATGTTGTATGCTCAGCATAGCCAAAACCATTGCCCTTTCTCAAAAAGCAGCAGTTGGCTAGCAAAATGTATCATTTGCATAATCAACACAACTCAGCTCACCAATCATGTTGTATGCTCAGCATAGCCCATTGACCATTGCCCTTTCTCAAAAGTTGTGCCTGCTTTTCTTAAAAAAACCTTAGCAGTTGGCTAGCAAAATGTATCATTTTCATTTCAGCTCATAATGTTGTATGCCAAGCCCATTGACCATTGCCCTTTCTCAAAAAGTTGTGCCTGCTTTTCTTAAGCACAAAACCTTAGCAAAATGTATCATTTGCATAACAGCTCACCAATCATTTGTATGCTCAGCATAGCCCATTGACCATTGCCCTTTCTCAAAAGTTGTGCCTGCTTTTCTTAAGCACAAAACCTTAGCAGTTGGCTAGCAAAATGTATCATTTGCATAACCAACACAACTCAGCTCACCATCCTGATTATTTTGTTGGGGAGTTGGTGGATATTTGTACCAGCTCTTTTTCTAGTTAGGTAGCCATTTTCTAACAAAGACTGCACACTAGATGTTGTCATTTTGACTGATGGAGATGAGTACTGTTATCAGTGTTGCTAGACAACCATTTCTGCATTTTGTTTC